ATGCAGGTTCGCGCTCTAATTCTCGCTGTTCGCTATTATACACGGAAGAACGTGGATGTTGTGGCATTCTCTCTGGGGGTGCCAATTGCTAGGAAAGCTATGTTGGGAGGTGAGCTTTTCTTCTACTTTTTGTACAGCAATCTATTGTCAGTGCTCAACCTAGGGCAATGCGTGGATACAAAGGAGGAACTAGGTGGCCCACTCTCTCGTTATGCGGACACATTCTTAGGCTTGGCTGGCCCCAACCATGGAATGACTTTCAATGTAATTTTGTCTCTCCGTTAAGCTTCAACATTGTTAAATAATCATTACCCTCGAAGATCGCTGGATTATCACTGCCTGCATGCGCACTGGGCACACTTCCAATATGTGACCGAGTTGTGGGCCTATACTCTGGTCTGTGTCCTTATGAGAGCGAGTTCCTGAAGGTATGTATAAAAAATGGACAAACATAATGGAAAATGTACCTTCACAGGATATCAACCACGAGCATCATTACGAAGGGCGAAGAGTATACTCAATCTACAGCCATATTGATGAGAGAATTGGTTACAAAGTTTGTGGCAAGGTAACTTTTTTCTTAATCGCCATTTTTTTGTATGAAACTGCTCGTAAGTTAGCCATGTTCAAAATTGCCTGTTTGTCGAAGTCGTGCCAGAGCCGTTCCAGCGCCGCGCTGGCGCCGAGCTCGAATATACGTAAGTCCATCTCTACAACCAACGTTCCGGCACGGCGCTAGTACGGCGCTGAAGCGGGCAACTCTAATAATTTATTCGATCAATCAAATCACGACTTCGAAACAGATTACAATATTTGTTTCCTTTCATCCTGTTCGGCTTGAATTTTCTGTTACTGTGACCATTATCCATGCTCTAGGTCACTGCTTCTATCAATGGAGAAGATGACCACAAGTCGTATCGAAATCTCAACCATGACGAAATATTGGACACCACCCATGAGCTGCAGATATCCATGATTCAAGGCCGCTTCGGGGACCAGATAGACGACGCGACGGTGTTGCCGAACACTTCCAACCTCATTGAACAGATCCTTGGTCAAGACAACGCTACCATTTTGAGTAGGGAGGGTCTCAGCGTGAGCGATGTAGCCGTAGACAATTCGGACAACAATTTATTATGGAAGATGGGCGAACAAGAGCGGAGCGAGTCACCTGAACAAAACATTGACAAGATCAGAAAATACTTTCGAGAGAAAGGAGTTGATTCGTCGCTGGAGCGTACCGATTCGCCGAACACCCGAGACGACTCGTTTTTCTATAGAAGAAGCAGTGTGAAGGAGGATGCCAATGATACTTTAGGCAGAGGAGGATATCATACAAGAATATCTTTCAGAATTCAATGAAAGCATCATGACTTTTTGTTGAAAATAAACACTATATACATCATTTAGAGAGAGTAGCATGCGAGAAATAACAAAA